ATTTCATCAAACTGTTTAAAATGTTAAAGGTAATAAAATATGAGTAACTGAAACAGCCTTAGAATATTTTAAATTCATTAATACTCACACAGAGAAAAATAAATATTTTTATCAACTAAAGTGAAACAATCATTATCCAAACTTCATAATAATTATCATGAAAATATTTCTGAATGAAAATAAAATAATAAAATAAAAAACTAGGAATAGTATGCCAATAAGTATTAAATTTTCCTGGTAAAAGTGCACCAATAGAAAGATAGTTTTCACAAATCAATAATTATTGAACAAGTGAAAAATCTCAATTACATGTTTCACAAATGGTAGTTTTTACAAACTTTGATGAAAATTGTAATGAAACTTCAAAGCTTTGAAATTTGATATTTAGTTCTTAAAAAGTTAAACACCACGTCATATTTCGGTGCATTGCTAAAAGCGACACGTGTACCATTTTTTGGTACACTTATTTTACGAATAAGTTTTTGTGTAATATTATAGTTACACGGGATTCTTTGGCTAAAAGTATTAAATGTACCTCTTGTGGTACACATAAATACGATTTGAACACAGGAAAATATTTCTTAGTCCACCAGACAAATAAATTTTTGACTAGTCCATTGAAATATTAAACTTTTTAGGTAAAAAAAAATCGAAAATACCATCACGAAGGTTACTTGTTATTTATTTATTTTTTTTTTAATTCAAATGTTGTGTTTTTGTATTACTATATATAGAAAATAAATAAATAAAGTTTGTATTTTTTTATTTAAATTTTACACTAGGTATTTTTATCTTTAAAAAATTATTTATCCTTTAGTTTAAGTTTACTTTGAATTACTTTAATTTAAAATATTTTCATCGTAAAGATACACACTAAATGAGTTGACATTATAATTTTAAATAATTAGTTTTTATAGTTGGTAATAATAATATAAAAATGATGTAATGAGATGAAAAAAAAAATAATTATTATAGAAAGAGATAATCTATGGATTATGGTAATGAACTATGCCTATAACATAAGTAAAACAGGTAGAATAGTATACACGTTGGGTAATTATTATAGAAGAGATACTAAGTTATAAAATCTTCTAGTGAATTTTTATATCTGGTTACTATAAATATACAGGTAATGTTTTATATTTATGCGGTATTGTTACTTCACGCACGTGAACATTTAACAACCTATAATCAAAACACAACACTGAAACGTTACATCAAATTTCATAATTTATGGTAATTTTGATGGGTCGATTTTTCTTTTTTAATTTAGCATTTAAATTACAACATACAGCAACGTTGACAGCTAACTATTTCGTTAAAACCGTAACACCAGGTAAAAATGTGTAATTTTAAAATCCTACGCTTGTTGTCGTAATAAGTTCGTACTATCTATTGGAACTTCGTACTCAATTATTTTTGACTCGATTTTATCGAATCATTGTGTACTCGCTTTCAAACCTACCAAATAGTGTTCAATGAGTAAAACATAATTCAAAACTAGCTAAGTGTAAAACTTTTACGTTCACGTGTAATAATTTTTTATCATAGGGGTATGCATGGTATGTAGCCCGGACACCCTCCAAAAATTGTAAATGGAGTTTAACAGTTTATGTCTAAGAGTAAGGCGCTTGTATTTTAATTGTTTTCTTTCGAATGAAATATAATTTATTTTAAAATAATTGGTAAAAAATAAATAATATTTCGTAGTAGATAAAATAAAACTAAATATTCAAAATGTTCATACAAAAAATTATCATGATAATATAACACCTACAATTGACTACAAAAGTACAGATTATATTATTATATTTATTACATTAATACGAGTAATTGAGCTATCTTAAAAGAATATACAATATCCAAGAAAAACATATTCATTGGGACTAATGTACCACAACTTTATATAAAAAAATAAAGTTATATTTATTTGTTTATGGTTTAAAATTTAGTAACTATACCAACAAATTGTATTAAAAAGGGCCAACAATTATTGTAGGAAACCCCTGATATACAAGTCTGCACCAGCCTGTATTGGTTACGACTATACTCAATCAACACTCTGTATATAAGATTACAGAGTACTTTTGTGGTTAAGTATTGACTGATTCGCGTATGCTGAAATGCTAAAAAAAGTGTTTACCCAACAAAATATTTCAAATCGGTTAAATCAAACTATTTACAGGAGAAAATCGATATAATTGATATATACGATATATACTACAGTTATTTTCTTGATAAATACCAAATAAACTTTTTTAAGTTCTCGAGAGAAGAAAAGTCCAGAAAACTATTATAAATTATGAAATTTTTGAACACTATCGATATCAACATTTAATAAGCTTAACACTGTTCATTGGGATGATATTTTAAGAGAAATTCTTTTGCATTATTCACCAAACTAAAATAAATGAAAAAAATATATTAGGTCAACTAATGGAAATCGTACTGTTGTTATTCAATAAGATTTCTCAAATAATGATTAATTTATACAAATCTTTTATTCCACAATGTTTTTATAAAAGGGATTGATAATTTGCTAAAATACTGATAAATATATAAAGTGGATGAGAAATAATTTTTAATCTTTCATCAAAAATACCATTATAAACTGCATATATTGGTACGTATTATAATAATAACGAGAATTTTCATAATCATTTTATTCTATGAATTTAAACGACGTAAAATTATAGTGATACAAAATGTATTGTTCATTATTTTAGTCTAAGATTCAATAAACGCATGTTAAATGTATAGAAACGTAATTATCTGTGAAAATCACACAGTATTGAAATTATCTGAACGGTATCCATGAAAACTAAAATATTTATGCAAGACCATTGGTTGAAAAATGTACTTAAATATTTTTAACACATTACATCAGTATACATATTTTGTATTAAATACATCCACTTTATCGATCACATCGAAAAAGTACAAGACTTTTATTACATCATAATATTAATAAAATCATCATTATATATATTGAAAATATTATTTCATAGTGATAAAAACTGTATACAACAAATATACAACTGTTAATTTTTCAATAACCAAAATATATAGAATGTTATACTCATTTTACAACGTTATACCCAATATAAATTGATTTAGATAAAATCTCACATTTTACGATGTAACTTATAAATTTTAAGTTTCATTAAGTACAATTTAACATATTATGTACCATACAGTTAATTTGAATTCATTCTTCATTAGTTGATTAATATATTTCCCGGCATTTCTAGATCCGTTTTGGCTTATCAAAAATGAGAAGTTCACTGTGCTATGGTTTTAATTTTTGTTTTCTTAACAAAATATTTGAAGTAAAATAGTAATCTAATCTTATGGATGAATACGGTTTCTAGTACCGGGAAAATACTGAAAACGATAAAATAATAAACTTGAACTGTTCAATTAAATACTTTTCTACCCGAATATACACAATGCGGAAACGGGTTATTATATAATTACTCAACAAACCAAACAGAAAATCAAATTTCATACCCATAGTGAACTTTTCAACTTCGGGAAACGTATCGAACAAGTATTTATCAGAATGTAACTCAGCAGTTCGTGTTACGTTTATTACGAGTCTATTAAAGAACAGTGACGACAATCGGAAATTAAAATCTTTATTATAAAACAAATCAAGACAGATTTATCCAAATGTTAATGCTCATAGATCGAGGACTTTCTAGAGCATCATGTATGCGCGTGTATTCCAAAAATAAACGTTCGGTTGCATCTAGCGCATCATTTGACAGTAAACAGTTAACATTTAACAATTGCTAGTGCGTGGAATACAATAATTTGCATCATTTCAATCGTACATGTACGTGTCTGGATTAGTGATGGGCAAATTCCCGGGAACATATTTTTGGGAATTTCCCCGGTGAAATTCCCAGAAATATAATAAGTTTTTTAATATTGATCATAGATTTCAGTTTTCAATTAAACTTATGGCTGTAAATTATCCAAATTAAAATTTTTACTGATAATTACAAGTTATATTTTTATTTGCAATAACGGCATTCAAATATCTTTTTACCATTTACAGTTTTTTCTTGGTAAGAAATGGCTGGTGGTAAAAAAAATTTGATTAGCACCAAACAAATAACGTACTTTATATACTAATACATACACTAGATTTAAACACAAAAAGTTATTAACAGAAATGTTAAGATTTTTGTGAAGTGAAAAACTAAAAATTTAACTTACTTGGTACTATAGTAACAGAAATTAAATATATAAAATTAATAACTATGCAAATGGAAAATACTAAAATGGAACAACGATAATTCTATAATCAATTATAATCTAATATATTGTTTATCAATAAGTATGTTGGTCAACAAAGCCAATTGATGTGAACAAAATACACTTATAAATACTGTTACTCTAGTACAGAGTACAGACGTATAGTAGTAGTATAGACTGTAATTAGATTTCCACTCAATTTTTTTTTCTTTCTTTTTTTGAAAGAAATTTCTCGAGATGCTGAGGAATATTTCGGGAATATTTCCTGTTCCCGGAAACATTCTTTTGGGAATATTTCTAGTGGCACATTACTAATCTGGATGTTTTCATTACCATTAGGCGGATATCGGATAATGTACCCCAACAAGAGTTCCTGTGGTCACCTGATCCATTAGTGGATCCAAACCAAGATAATGAGTTTAATAATGAAGAGGAGGGGCAATTGATATGATTTAAAGAATACACATAAATGTTATAACCCGGTGCCTGCGAAAAGTCATGTCCATATCTGCATGCAGTTCCGGTACTGCGCTCATCGTTGACCGCGAACGTTCTAGTACCTGACCAGGATACACTCGCGTTCACATTAATATATGTCGTCGAATCGCGTTTGAATTATGGTGGTATATAATGTTACACTTTTAGCGGTGCAAAAATTGTGATCGTTATACGATGAGTTGTGGGGAATGAATAAAAAAAAAATAACGTGAACTATACAATACGTTTCGCATATTTACCAGCTATCTCGAAGTCTCTGGTTCGATGCGGTTGATGGAAGTTCTAATAGTCCCGCGTCACATTTACTTGGTAATGGGTAGTATTCTGAAAAATAAGAACAGTCTTATTGTATGATGTACTTTACTATCAATAGCATTTTTACATCGTAACAGTTTACGATTTTTAGTATAAAACAAGTTCACTTTAGACGGTTGGTAGGTATGGAAACACATACGAATAAAACACACAGACACATATCCGAATTCAATTTTCTACTACATCTTAATGGTGTGTTTAGTGGCCGACCTAAAGGGACGTAAAAAGAGAAACAGCCGGGGTATGGAAAAAACTGCTGGATATGGAGATCGGAGCTGAAGGAGACGAAAAAGAAAATAATAATGTCACTGTGAAAAGATTGTTGCGCTGGGACAAGACCTGAATAACAGTCGCCTAATAGTTTTTTTTTTCCTATTCTGTTCCTCGGGTAACAACGATCGTTGCGAAGGGCATTTCCCCCGGATTTCCGTATTTTATTTCAACCGTTCGCCCCTCCGACAACACGCCTCATCACCCTCTTCCGCCAAGGCCGTATTATATCTATTGTCACGGTCCGCTTTTGGCTTGAAAGTGTATACGTACGTTTTCGTGGTACACATGTGTACCTATCAGGATTATAATACTACGTGCATGTATTATGTGGACGCGTTCAAGTCCAGACGTGGAGAGCGAATAGAAGGAAAAAATCCCATCAGCTCCGAAAAAAAAAAAAATCCTATAAAGAATAAATAAAAAATACATTTATTTTTTCAACGTCGACAGTGTCGAGATAAAGAATACGGTCGAGGAATGATAATGGTTTCATTCGAATGATGAGCGACCTAAATAAACATCTTAAATGACCTCTTTTGCATATGCTTACAAATGCCAGGTATCGTTGAATACCATAGATGTTTAAACGTATATAATTGCTATACTCGATTGTATATGTTTGTTTGTGCAGGATGCGATGTAATCGTGCGTAATGGTGTTATAGGTCAGTAAACGAAATAATAGAAAGATTTATTTCGAAAGCAAATTACTACAATTAAGTTAACTCCTATATTTTTGGAGATTCAGGAGCTTTCAGACGTCACGCGTCATTTTTTTCTGTAATAGAGTATCTTCTCAAAAGCATGGTTGATAATTATTTATTATATTATATTTTTATTTTGTCCAAAATGTTTTTTTTTTAACATTACAAATTAGTGAGTATCTCTTTAGAGTAACATTCATAAATAATTATATTTATGAAAACTGTATTATTTCAATTCTAATACGTAGTATAATATACTTTTTAAACCAAATAACTTGGATTATAATTTTGAAATGATTGATTAATTTTATAAGCTCCTTAACTGTCATACCGAGTATAAAATATGTTCATATTCTATGGCGAGCTTCATGAGAATAACCCCTAACTCGAAATAAGTTAAATTCACTAGTGACACATTTTCATAAAATACAAAATTCAATCTTTTTTTAAGTAAAAAGTTTTTAACCCATATAAAGAGTACCTTGAAGTTTTTTTTTACTCGCCATACCTTTGTTAGGTTTTGTGATACATTGCTCTACTTCTTCAAGTATATTTTATTTTATAAAATAAATAATTATTATAATGTGAACAATCAAATAACTGTTGATAATCATTCTGTAACAATATTTCTCAAAATCTATAATTTTCTTCCTAAAATTCAGCAATAGGCATAACGCTGTTAAAGGAGAAAACAAATCTTCCGTTGTATAAGATGTTACCCCGAATGTAAAAATATAGTTAAAGAATATTGAGATTTGTTCATTATATTTTTGAAAAAAATATTCATTTTAAGGATTTATAAATTGATAAGATAAATTGAAATTAAATTACGTAATGTATCTACTTAAAACATGTATGGTCAATGTATTGTGATAATTGTGATCTAATTCGTAGAAAAAATTACAGAAAATTAAAAAAATCACCATTTTAAGAAAAAAATGCACAGGAAAATCTTGTAAATATATTTTTTTTTACAAGAATATTTGCAGTCGTCCAATCATTTTCATGTTATATGGTCACGTTAATAGTGGACTGACAGTCAAAATTTTTTTAAATATAAAATCTCGGATTAAAAATTTTTCCATAGCTATTTGGAATCAACTAAATGCTTTTAACTGGTCTCGACGAAATTATCGCGGATAAGACATTTCCTAAAAGTATTTTTGCGTAATACCACGTACTCATATTCTGATTACGAACACGTGTTGTACGATTAAGACTGGAAAATCATACAAAAGTCAGGATTAGTCATGATGTCAATAGTCAGAATATTGAATTACAATACGTCTGCACTTCTGTTGCAGTATAATCTATATATATATGTTCTACGACGATGAGAAACATTTTTAATAATGTTCGACACGCTATGTATATATTAATCAAATAAAATATAAATAATGTATAATATATTAATAGATCAAATTGTGAAAGTCATTGAACGGCAAACTGCAGCAAATTTTGAAATAATAATCAGTGATAGATTTAGGAGTTTTGAAAAGCCAGGTAATGACTACTAATATCCAATCGGTAGTCATCCCTACAAAAAAAAAAAAAAAATAAATAATAAATAATAAAAAATAAATAGATTGACATATATTGAGGAAAGAAATCATAATCATTTTTTGATTATTATATGCTACCCGTGCAAACGGACTTTCCGCGTGCACGGCTTCGATTATGTCGACTTTTCCCGTTTTATTCGTTCCTCACTTTCCGTCATTAGTCTGTACAATTGTGAATTTCGGTTGTGAATGTTATTAATGTGTTGTGTTCGTGATTTATGTAAATCGAGTGAATTATTATAAAAGAATGTATTCTTGACCACTTTTGTCGTTGTTTTTCCTTTTTTTTTTCAATTCCATCTAGTTTGCTGTTTATCGTTTCCTCTTGTAATAACACATCACCTCTTTTTATATTCCAATATAAGATATATTGTTTAATTTTTTTTTTTTTCTATCGTTGTTTGTTATTGCGGCAACAAATTATTATTCCCTTTTTCATATTTTTATTATTACATGTACTATCATCTGCTATTGCGGGGACACATATATTATTGTTATTCACACCAATGTGGCAAATTAATTACTATTAAATATATTTATATTGTGTATCAGTTCCCATTGGTAACATTTTGCAACTTTAAATTAGTATATAATAAAAATTGACTGATTACCAAAACCGTCTCTGAATTAGTTTTTTGTCGTTTTCGTGTTCCTACGAACGTTATGACATTCTTCCGAATGTCTGCATCATCCCTTGTCCACGTAAGTGTAAATTTGTCACATAAATTATTGAAGTTCCTGTACGTGTCCTCTCATGAAGTATTCGGACTATACGTAAGACCGCCAGCATCCCCAGTAGTGCGTGAAAGGCTGCCCAGGTCGTCGGGATCACTAGTTACCCGTTGGAGTTACCAATTCATGCATCACGTAGTTTTAAGTTTAGTTCGAGCGTTTTTTTTTTTTTCGTTTCGTGTATAAGCTCTGTGAGTCAACATTATACCAAGCCGATTCGACCACAGAGACCTCCCCCCAATAAATAATCTCCTGCACTAATTTATTAATAACTTGTTTCCCGTTCCTTCGTCACCGTCGCTGTACATACGGTTCAAGCGTGACATTGAGTTGCCTACGAAAACCAAGGCGTCTAAATCCGATCGCCTATGGTCATCAAAATTGGACACAACGTATAATAAATTAATATCTCATAGCGTTACATACGTGACTGGTCCTTTGCCTGTTCATAAACAACCTATATTTATTCATATGTATGTATTGAAATTAAATAATAATCATACAAAGGAATTGAAAACAAATCAATGTCCAGTGAACAATTTCATAGTTTTGTCTAACTTTTATATGATTTGTTGAAACATAGTTCAATATTTGACAGTAAAACGTTTTCGATAAAAGCTAATATAGACGCAATTAATTGTTTCGTTTAATTTATTAAATCCAGGACCTACATTTGAGGCCTCGTTGCAATCGAGTAGGAATTTCATGTACTCCGGTTAAATCTGGGGCTCCGAACAATTATGCTAATATACTACTATATCCGATGACAGCATGCCCTTGGATCAAAAAAAAAATATCTATCAAATCAAGACTGTGTAACGTGGTAGATAATTAACACGTTACGCATCCGTGTTAGGACTTCGTTTACATTACTCAGGACACTTCGCGGCCGAAAAAATCACGTAACGTGTAAGGCTTACAGAATATTCATTACAGTAAAACGCACGATTCTCGACAAGTGACGACTGTGTAATGGAAACACAAACGTCAACTACTAGAACCTCAACGATAAATCCTCAGGCTACAAAAGCAAAATCAGTCACATTAGACACGATGATAAATTTCGTTAATAAAATATAACATCGCCTGTTTAATTGGGCGAACGATGAAGAAACACTGTAATTATAATATTATATTGGATTGGTTATTTTAAAAAGTCTCGGTTTAATAACTTGAGTACATATTACAATAATATGGTATGATTCTAAACCATAAAAATTTAATTATATTTTTTGAATCGCTAGCTGTAATCACATAATAAAATATTATGATTATTTAGTATAATAAGTTATGTAACCAAATGAAATATATTAAATTATATATATATATATATATACACACATTATGTAGATGTATATTATAGATATATAATATAGTTTAAAAAACTATGTTTTATAAGTCGAAAATTATTCAATTCGAATATTTTCTATAGATTTCTTTAGTTTTGTCAGTTCATATTAAATTAACTTTTTACTACTAAACATGTGATTCACTTAGAAAGATTAGAAAGATATTTCTGGTCATAATCAAATAAAAAATTAAAATATAAAAAATTGGTTTTAACTGGAACTTTGAAATTATTTTTATTTATCTAATTAATTGTGGAAAAGTTATGAAAATTAAAAAATATTTTCAATTTCAATCGAGATTCCAATTCTTTTGTTACGCAAATTGCTTTTTCTTTGAGTCTGTGTTACGATTTTATCAAAGTATTTCTCCGAAAATCTCAATCATCAGTA